CCGACGACTATCAAGAACGTCCAGCCAAGAGACACGCTGGCGACGTCGAAATGGTCGTTGATCACTGTAAGCGTCTTCCCGCCGCTTAACCTACCATTAACGCCGTCTTCCCAGACAATTTGCGTCCAGAAGTAGGCGTAAAACAGCGCAAAGAGTCTCCTATCATCGGCCTCAAGAATTTCAACAACTGGGTGAAATCGGTCCTGATTACGCAATTTGGACATCCAGCCCTCGCCGCTAGTTCATCCAAAAAATGCGGCAAAGTCCTCGATATGGGCTGCGGCAAAGGTGGTGACCTCATCAAATGGGGGAAGGCTCGAATTCGAGAGATGTTGGCTGTTGGTGAGATTTTCTGCTTTAGTTCGCGCAGCCCGATCTGATCCATCTTCGATAGACATCGCACACGTGTCTGTCGAACAGGCTCGACACCGGTGGGCCACTATGCGTCCACGGCGTTTTGACGCCTCGTTCGCTGCGTTGGATTGCTATACAGAACCGCTTACAAAGGTCTTTTCGCCCGAGCAGCTCGCACAGCCATTCGATGTTGTATCCATGCAATTCTGCATGCATTATGCGTTTGAAACGTCGCAAAAAGCTCGATGCATGCTCAGGAACGTCAGCGAATGGTTAAGACCAGGAGGGATATTTCTCGGGACGGTTCCAAACGCCGACCAGCTCCTGTATGTCCATTTAAACCCAGATTCCTTCTCACGTCCGTGTTGCTGACTTTATCGCGTCGATAGCGCGCGACTGGACCAACTACCAGCTGACTGTGAAGATCTTTCATTTGGAAATTCGGTGTACAAGATCCGGTTTGAAGAACGCACCTCTCGCCCGCTATTTGGCCACCGATACTACTTTTATCTCCGTGACGCTGTTGATAACGTGCCAGAGTACATTGTTGAATGGGACAATTTTGTTAAGTGAGTCTTTGTGTCATCTTGACATGCCCTCAAGTGGTACTGACATGAGTCTGTGTAGGATGGCCGCGGAGTACGGACTTCACCCCGTATTCAAGAAGGAGTTCCATGAAGTGTTTGAAGAAAATAGGGAGCATGAGGATTTCAAGCAGTTGATGGTCCGCATGAATGTATGTGACGCGACCGGCGCCAGCTCGATGGAGGATGAAGAGTGGGAGGCAGTCAGTAAGTTCCGACTTTTCAGTGTAATTTGTAACGTCGCTAATAGAATACATTTTATCCTTTAGACATTTATATCGCATTTGCCTTTGAGAAGAGGTGATGGTTTCACGATCTATGATTTGTCTTTTGTGATATTTTATACATCCCTTTGACTGTCTCAGTGTCTGCCAGCCCATACCCACAACTTATGTAATACGATCACTGATGATATATTGATAATTTCCGCACGATATACAGACAAGGCCCAATTGCAATGTACAGACATTACATAAAAGCGGTGCTCTGTACACGACATAAAGGCGGCATATACTTAGACACGGACTAACGAACAGCAAGAATAAGGTGTCCCACTAAGATTACAAAAAGATAGCGTGACGTCGATTGTATGAATAAAAGCGAAAGTCGTCGTCGTACATAAAATTATTCCTGACCAAATCCAACAGTTTCCCTGGTAAAGAGTTTAGCGTGAGCTGACATGCGAGTTAGGAAAAGGACTCACTCTACAGCAAGCGTGAGTTTCTGCTCCAAACTAGCATAATCTTTGTATGGTGGAAGATCAATACGATTGAAGCAGGTGTGACTCTTCGGTAGTTGTGAAGGGTCACCAGACTTTTCTATGGTAAAGCGGCGGGGTCCATCCGAGCCCTGAAGGTCCTTGAAACCATTGACGGGAATCCTAGATGTCCCCGTAGCGAACTGAAGCAAGCGGGACTTGCGCTCAGGTGGCCAGCTGCGAATGCACTTCCAGAACCACTGAATGACCTCATCATTCATCTCATATCCGCGGTAGTCGGTATGCTTAGTCCAGTCATCTCTGCAATGACATTAAGCCAAACAGCCTCACGACTTCAATTAAGGAACGTACACGTCAATTTCCGACATACCACCGATCAGGAGCTCCAGTTCGCGTTCGTCGAAAACAGTGATGAGGTCCTGTGGAATCAACTCGCTGAAGCCCGACATGAACGAATCAAACTGTTCCTTGACACGTTTGGAGATCCGATACTCGACGACAGCGTCCACGTATTCCTTCTTGTTATCCTGAGTCACGTTGACGTCTGCTCCCCCTGGACGAAGTTCAATGTTGACCAGTTCACCGAAGCGTTCCTCGGTCGTTGTGAAGGTCTCATCGATCACATCCGTGATGTCATTCTCCCTGAACAAGAGTTGGGAGAAATCACGACAAAAAGTGATAAAGCACTTACAACATCCAAGTCAATCCACGGTGCAACTCAGCATCGACAGATTCAAGGTCCGCCAGCGTCACCTTCTTCTTCAAAATCATCTTGTAGAAGCTGACAATGAAGTATGCATCGAGGAAACGACGGTGGAATATTCCAAGACCGAGACAGCGACCGATGAACTTGAAGTAGTTCAAGTGCTCTGGGTTGACGCCTGAAGCGGGATTAATTTGAAGTGTGTAGTTATCGTGGGCTGAGTATTCGAATAGACAGTAAAATGGGTTGAACATTTCGTGCGATAGAAGGAAGAAGAACTCTCTGCAAAGGAACTCAGTAAACGCATAAACTCTGATAGTTCGGTCCAACTTACCGCGATAAACCACCGTAATCGAGACCGTCCTCTCCATCAAACTTAATCATGAGTCGTTTCTTCAAATCATTGGGAGTCTGCCTCATGATCTCTGCATAACTATCCTCGAAGATATGGTTCCGCCGCACTTTGATCTGGCAGTTACCTGGCTGTGCACGCATAGCAGGTTGGCTTCGGAAGTAAATAAGCTTCCTCCTGAAGTCACGCTTGTACTGTGGAACGTTGGCATCAAGCGTGGATGGCATGCGGGGATCGTCCCATGTGGTCGTCTTCGTGTTGTGATCTACGAAATAAACACGTGCAGTAGATGTGAGGCGCATCTCCCAACCAGAGGGCAATGGACCAAGCTGGGATATGGTCTGAGACTGTGAGGACGTGTTCTGTCCATTAGGACCCATGACACGGATGACAGTCTGGCGCCGGGGATCGACCCAGGTGGTAGTACGCGTGTTATGATCCACATAATAGGGTCGTCCTTCTGGAGTGTAGCGCTCCTCCCAACCGGCTGGGAGACTCCCAGTCCCAGCTGTGGTAGCACCTCCACCCGAACCCACGACTGCCGGTGGAACGTTGGGCGATGGGGATGGTGTTGACACTGACGAGTTGCGGTACGTGTTGGCACCCGCAGCACCCGTGCTGGCAGCATCGACCATGTCGTCGGCGAGTATGCGGCGGGAGTGCTGATCTCTCGCAGCATTTGTTTCACTATCCTGGTTATTGTGGTTCACAGTTTGGTTGGATGATGGTCGGTTCCAAGTTGTTGTCCTGGTATTGTGATCAACATAATATGTCCGACCAAGTGGATCGATGCGACGCTCCCATCCGGGAGGTAATGGTCCATATTGATCAACATTGGGGTTGAAATTCCTCTGTTGTGCATTAGTAACCGCCTGTCCCGGAGACGTAGTCGAGGAAGGTGCTACGGATGGGGGAGCAGCGTGCCCACCACCTGAGCTGATAGGACGACCCGATGGAGACTGTGAAGACGACTGTTCTGCCTCACCACTAGTCACCGAAGGTGGTATGTGGGGCGTCGGCATCTGCATCAACGGTGCTGCGGCGGGCTCAGTAGCAGTGGCGTGTGAACTGGGTGGGCGAGACAAAGTATTACTTGTTGCTGGGGCGGCGTTGGGTGATAAGGACAGACTTGATTCATTCATTCCCATGTCGGCCAATGCAGAGGTAACGCCTTGTACTTGGGAGGGTCCAGGGTTGCTCATGGGCTGGTTTACATTTGTTGACAGGTATATGATGAGCTTGCCATGGACCACGAGGTTATCATTGGACTTTTTTAGATCCAACGTCAGCATCTCTATCAATTTGAATAAGTTTCGAATCAAAGTACGTGTAAGGGTGATTTGACGATGGGCGCTTACCATGGCCACCTAGTTCAAGATCGAGCACATCGCTAACTTTCACGTTGACCACACCCAAAAATCCTTGGTCACGCCTCTTGAATTTCCTCTGGTCAAATATCTGTACGGCTACCACTGATGAGTCTTTGACGGTGCTGTGTACATGGGACATCAGTCATGCACTGGTAACTACGCTCGACCGACACCAAACTTACATGTCAAAGCTCTCATTCCAGTAAGGATTCAGTGTCTTCTTTATAACGCTGGTTGTGTGAGTCTGCTCTGCATCAACGGTGATGACTGCAAAGGGGTCCGGTAGGCGGAATACATCACGCTTAGAGAGCCCATCTGCGGCGACAACTGCCCAAAATATACAAAATGAGCGTCCTTCGAGAACGATATAACTTTAGAATCATACCTGTAACCCTTATTTTCTTCCTGCTACAATGAGAATGAGAATGAATAGTTGATCGTGAGGTTTCGAATATCTGACTCACAGGGCATGCGCAGGCGTCGACATCGGGCTAGATGGCGGACCCAATAAGGGATCAAAGCCTGAGGCGGTTTTATTCTTCTGCGGTCTGCGGTAAGCTCGCTATGTCGGACGTTGACGACGTCAGAAAGATATGGGTAGGACAACGATTTTCAGATACCGACCGCACTGCTCACACGGCAAGCCCCCTCGGCAGTAAACGTGACCTCTGCACAGCTGCTAGCCTAGTCACCATGCCATCGATATTCATGGAGATTAATCCCGTAGGCTCAAATACTGCAGAATATAATAAAATATGATATAAAAAGGTCAGTTAAAGAATAAAGCCGGGATGCCGCTCTTCATTTGGGTTGAATTTTGTTGTCTTGACCCTCTACATGAAGGGGGGTCCCAGACTCCGCTGACTAATAATCCACACAACTCAGGTACTTTGTCGTGGGTCCCAACTTCTCCCAGTATGTCACATAGTTCCCCGTAGATATGGGGAACGTGGAATTCTTCTTGATTCCAATTTGTACAGGAACGACTGCGGCCCAATCTCTGAGCTACCTGGTAAAAAATTTCTTTTAACATTTCCAGATTCATATCGTTCAGTCTACCGGCCAGGGTACTACTAGTTATGCAGTGCCTACCCAATCTTTCTATATCATCCAGCGGTACGATACTCGAGTCGAGCAAGCCTTAATTTATTACATGTGTTACGGTGTATGGCTTATCTTTTGCAAATAGTCTACTTCCAGCAGAAATTCTCAATTAACAGTAGTCTGCTGACTCTGCTGAAGTTCGAACCACGTACAGGAGTTACCGACTGTTTGGGTCGCACATAATCCCTCCGTTCAGACTTCGAGCACGAGGTATGTCAACTTTAAGGCAGTCTATTGAGTCCTTGTCTTTGATAGGGTTGTCTTGGCTTCGCGTTCGCTGCGAAATAGCACCCTACTTTTAGGTCAGCTGAGTCGGGAGCCACATCAGATACTTACCTGCAAATAACCCCCGCTGGCACTTGACTTCAGAAAGAAAGCCTTTGCCTGTGAAAATGTACCGCGACGAATGGTAGGCCCGGGAAAACCTCGACTTGGATTCACTATCTCAGCTCTTTCTGGCCATGCTCCGTTGATACCCGACACGCGGGCGACTCTGGGCTTATGTTCTGCAGTGACAACATGCGAGTATGTCATGATATCGTGCATCGGATCTTCTCGCGTAGCAGAACTAGGGGTGTCCCCCGAAGGCGCAGCGTCTGCAAACGGGTTCTCGGGCATGCATATGAATGTGTCGGCTAAAGAGCCCTTGATCCTCCGTGATGGCAGGGATGAATATTCATCCTATGAAAATGTATCAGATGGCCGCACTCGTAGTATGTCCGAAAATACGTATTCGTTACCTACAGTTTTGGAGAGTGCCCCACCACCAACAGACAACTCCGGAAATGTATTTGGCTCTGAGCAGTGAAATGGAATGTCAACTCCTGACTTGTGGATAGGAACAACTTACTGCTTCGGCATCTTTCAGCCTATTCAGGTCAAAATGTTATCTGAAATCCATGACATGATCAAGTCGAGTACTTACTTTATGTTCATCATATTCGTGCACGAGTTGGTCGCTTAAGTCTTGCTTTGTAACTCCACTTAAGCGAGACTAGTCAATCGGTACTTGTCAGAATCATGGACGCCGGTGTACCGAGGACGGCGCACCGGAGTCTCAGGAACGAGCGCTGATCTGTTCTTCTGAAAAGGGGAGCTACGTAAAGCCATGGTGGATAAGGGGAATCACAGACTAGCCCTGGCTATACCATACGCAGGTCGCTGTCGCTCATTCCAAACATGACTGTGACGGCGGAGTAGTCTAAATTGCAATTCAGACTTACTCACTGATGATCATGTCCGCTCAGTTGATCATATTCAATAGGCATTACGCACATCGCAAGGACACTGCCTCTTAGTTCTGAACTTCAGCGGTCGAACGCATCATATGCTTAGCGAACAACATACTCTCACCCCATAGATTATAAAAGCACAATCTAAGATTAATTGAGGGAAAATAATTTCGGATCAACTCACAGAAGGAACAAGCTGCCAGAATTGTACAATGCGTCCCAGTCTTTGAGAATACAATGTGCGTGAGTGTTCTGCAATGCCAACCAGGACGCGTGAAGAAAATTCGGGTGGTGAAATACTCGTTCGGGCTATCTGAGACCAGCGCTGTCGGCACAAAATTAAAGCGGCCTGTGAACGTATAGGGCGCCCAGTGAATGAATTTACAATTGAAGGCAATGTGATGTTGTGTCCCTTCATTCGAGAATTTGATAGCATAAGAGGGACTCCTTGGCAGGTTCAGGTAAGATGCGTGATCCAAAGTACGTTGACGAAGCGAGGAAGTGGATGCGAAGAACCAGCTTTGGTGTGCTCCCGTTACAGCGTGGGCTGTTCACGGACGCCGTATAGCACCACAAGGAGTTTCATACCTGGCTGCTCCCAGGTCGCTCCGGATCCCACGTAATGAGCTATTGCCCGATAAGCTGTGAGAGTGGTGACCCGCCCCAATCATCACGATTCACGGCAGTGGCAGCCATTGGCCCATTGCAATCGAATATGATATTCGAAGTGGAAGCTCCGTCTCCAAAAGATCGCGTGATAGACTTCGTTATGCACATGCACGAACTTCGGAAAAAGAAGTATCAGCCTAAGACGTTGTCTTCATATTACTTACAGTTACTAGTGTTTGTTGACGAAACAAACATAAGGTGGCACGCGCTGAGGGGCCTAGGCCACCGCCTAGTGAAAAGACCCTTCATTAGGTCACTTCAGCCAATCTAGTTCCGCGTCAATAAACGAAAAATTCTGCACCCTACGAGGTCTTTGTAGTTAGTCCTCTTCACTCCTCTCCTAATCCAACGAGTAAACAAGTGAACAAAAAGATGGAGTCATTACAAACGGTAGATGATTGTAAGGATGTAATACCCCTCAGGTACTGATATTCAGCACAGGCGCACCAACATGCGGCGAATGCAGAGGATTACCGCAACCAAGGGCTGCTCATCCCAGCTTCAGAGGAACACATGAAAGCTGCAGAAGCGTTTCACGCTTGCGAAGACAAGTCACAGGACGCAAACGTGCGTATACGAGTTCATGCGTCATATCTAGTAACCTTAGTTATCTGCATTGTGCAATGCCTCTCAGACAAAAACAACGCTCCGCATGCTATACAACGAACACGTAAAAGCCGGAAAGGAACTGCAGAGGAGAATCGCAAAACTTCGTGAAGAGAACCAGGACCCCACCCTGCCGCAGAAGACAACGCCGAGGCATACACAGGTTCATACGCATAAGAACGGAGGCGGTTCAAGTACTTCTCCTCACGCTCACGCTCCCGCTCCTGCATCCTCCGCCCCACTGCATGCTAGTGCTAGCAGTTCGAGTCGATTATTAGACTCCCATAATAACGTTGACGAATCATTCATGGTGCTTGGGCAACAGGTATGATTATATATATTCCACCCAATGACTTTTTACAACTTCGCACCATAGTCTGATCCGGGTGATGCCTTCAATAACTTTTGGAGAATCATGGAGGGGATGCTCGACAATTTGTCTCAGCCAGTTGCCTTCGCCACAGCCCCTTTGGGAACCGAACCACCCCCGGCGGGAAAGAAGAACTCACGGCGGGACGGAAACTCGAGTAGTGATACCGATATCGAACAGCCCCACACATCCACGTTTTTTACACGGCTGGGATTAGATGGTAAATTCAAGTCGAGTAAGTGATCGCCGAAACCGCATTACCAATAACTGTTTTTTGACTTGCCCATTCAGAAGTGGACACCTTGCTCGAGGAGACGGATGAGGAAGTATTTGCAGACGAAGGTATGTTGGCACATTGTCAATGGACTTGACTTTACGAAACGAGTTCTCCAAGGTAACGATCTATCAGAATCCTTTTGCATGATTCCCTCGGATTCGGAACGGTCCCGGTCGGATTTGAAGAAAGAAAATGGATCACTGAAGCAAGAGCTTGAAGCGATGTCAAAACGTTTGGCGGCTGCTGAGCGGATCATGCAGCTGCGCAAGGAACAAGACCACCAATTACGCGAAAGCATTGTGATGGCGCGACACCAGGTGATCTTACGCTCCTTTGCCGATCCTCCATCAGACTGGCTCACTGCCAATACTCTCTATCAGGCACAGCGAGCAATGGGTACCTCGACGGTAATAACAAGGCAATCCGGGCAACAACCGGTAGTAGACCTCAGCGCTCTGAATATCAATTTGCCAGCTGTTCCAGCACCGGTGACGGCTTTGAACGTTGGTCGTGATCGGGAAGCACAGCTACTTAGCCGCATAAGGGAGTTGGAAGAAGACGTTCGAGTTGTTCGCATGGAGAATGAGAAACAGGTGCATTGCAAACATGTATGACGCCTTTTGTCCGCCACTGACTTCCGTCGCAGAAAATGACGATCGCACGCTTTCGTGAGCGATGGGAAAAGCTCAAAGAGTCGTCAAGGCGCAAAAAAGATGCTAAGGCTGCTGAAGCAGCGAAGACAGGTATGGGTGAACCTATCGTGGAGGAGCCCGAGGTCGAGCAAATGTTGGATGAGGCTTCATCACGCCCGCCGACGTAGTTGGCGTTCACACGTGTCTCGCGTATGTGATCACTAATGCTATCGTTGGTCTGATATACCATATAATCTCCGTTTCCTATTGGTAATGATATGTCTCATGAGTCTCAATGATAGTGCAACTAAGCGAGAACCCTACGATATGACGTATTGTCGTGGTGGAAGCACAATACGCCCTCAATGATACGCCCGAACACATGGTTTCGCTCCCACTGGAGTCACGTTGTCAAAAATGGAAAGAAGTCTGTTCTCATCAGCTCTCATCAGACGGCTAATTCCCTAGAAACTTTGAAAGTGAGATTGATGTTTGCCGGCTACATCCCATGATGTGGAAGGCGGCCCCCATTTCACGGTATGGAGCGGACACAGGTATACCTGATACTGTGTATATCTTTCCACGAGGTGCTCCATTAGGAATGCGATAAGCTGATGATAAAAGGATGCAATTAAACCGCCGATATATATGTACTGGTATGAGATGGGGATCGAGTTTCTGAAAACAAAGTTCATAACACTCAGAAGATCAAACCCCAGATATTATTGATGTTAAGATCTAGCAATCGGGTCCGAGAAAGTCATATTGAACTGTAGAGTCCGTTATGTAGGAGGCCTAGACTGCGAAAAGGTTGTAATCGACAACTCTCAGAGAATCTACTGCCTTGAAGAAATCCGATGCGATGAGCTGTTCCTGTTCCACCGTAACGGCTCCATTTCTTCCACGGCCTTGTCCCGTTTCAATCGGAATGTTGAACGAGACAACGACATCGTGGTTCTTTCCTCTGACTCGGAAAAGAGCAAATAGGGTGCGAAGGTGGTGGATTGACCCAGCTTTCCGTAGAACCTGACCTCCGTCGAGCAAAATTGGAGAAAGTTCATTGGTGATGGGTCTTTGAATAATGATGGAATTATGTTCCATTGAATCATTATCCTCTGCTATTACATCGAGGTGGAATCTGTGATATCATGCATCAGAGCTTCTTGAAGCACATGCAATTGCAACAACAGGAGGACACTAACTTTGCTGCCGCTTCCGGATCTTCGATATCGACTTTTTGAAGGATGTCGATGATAATGCTTGCACCAGAGTCACGGTACACGAATATTTCCTGGGAGTTTGGGATCTCCTGCGTGTCTCTGAGATAAATTTGGTCAGTCAGTGGGATAGAGCGTTTAGCGAGAGTGAGCCATACGCGACATTGATCAGATTTATAGGTAGATTGGCCCTCATCCCATTGTCTCCAAAAAGATTCACTGGAACATGGCGGTTGGACATGCTCTTGAATCGAGAATGTAGTAGTATGATATCGATATAGATAAGATCTAAAGTAACAACAATATTTAAAAAGGGGTCTAGTGGCACGGTCACGTGCATGTGACAAACACTTGTTGACCGCGACGCACGACGCGTCCTGAGCGCATCGACTTCCTGCAATTGCTCGTCGGCGACATGTCGGAACTCCGTCGCTCGACCATGCAACCTGCAACTGATATATATGGCAACACTCGGTCAGGCCTACCAATGCCATCAACAGCAAAGAAAGCATCATCGTCCGCTATGCGCATGTCGCTCGCTGGCCCAGCAGCCCGCACACCCTATTTGCCCCCAGGAGCAGGTTCCGGCTCAAATACAGGACATTCTGGTTATCGGTCACAGAATGTGAATCCACTGCTACAAAGTACAAGTAAACCAAATTATGGGCGTACCCCTTTAACCAAGTAAGTGTCTTCTCTGATCTCGTCAACGTTCCTTTCGAATGATACCCTACTCTCAGCTCTTCTAGGAGGGGTTCGGTATGGACAGGTGGTCCATCTCTTGCCCCTCCTTCCGGCAGTCAAACATTCAAGGACCCACGACCAATCCGCGAGCGCTCATATCAATCGAGAATGAAACAAGACATATACTCTTGGCTGCAAGCGACAGAATTTGACATATCTGTTCAAACGCTATCAAACATCACCGGAAAAGATTACCGAGCCATGTTCCAACATCTTGTGACTATCGTAGATCCTGGATACCCGTTTGATCCTCGCCTTCGCTTTGAGGACGAACTTCAACCCGCTCTGAAAGCCCTGCGATACCCGTTTTCTACCCAAATTGACAACAAATGGCTGGCTGCTCCGGGAAGTATGCATTCTTGGCCTGCTCTGCTGGCAGTTTTGCATTGGCTGGTTGAGATGGGAAAGGTTATCTACACTTGAATCATAAACAACCTTGCATTAATAAATTACTCCAGGCTCGGCTGAACTACTTGCAGAGCGAGGATGATCCCACATTACAAATTGCCGATAGAATTCCCGAAGAGTTCAGCGACCCTATCCATCATCAGGCGCTTGCATTCAATTACTTTTCAGAAGCCTATGTCGCTTTTTTTCATGGCGCAGACGTATTCCACGAACAGGACAAAGAACTGGAAGCCAGTTACGGTACGTCTTCTATATTTTTAAAAGCAGCTCTTTCTGACGATAGAATTGAAGCGAAGAAGAACGAGAGGGTGGTCGGCGACTTAGAGAATAAGAAAGCACTACTAGCACAAGGAACGAAGGAGTTGGACGAACTTCGGTCATCAAAGGTAGGCCGCGTGTATGATCCTTTCGGCGAATGTCGTCTGCTAAGTATTGACCCGTTAGGCACCTCTAGAAAAACTCCAGAAAATTCGGGCTTGTATCTTGGATGATCGAGCCAAATTCGACGACGTTTTGCACCGCTTGGAGTCGCGAAAAAGACAGCTCACTGAATCTGTAGTTCGCGAGAAAGCGGAACTCGCTGCTCGATGTGCGTCATGCAAATTTATAGCGGATGAATCATCGTGAACTCTTATCTTCAGCTCAGAACTTTGATCAACTCAAAGCCGAGCACTGAGAAGCTTACGGAGGTGGTCAAAGTTCAGAACCTGACAGCAGAAGAAGTCATTCGCATGAACACTGACCATGAAACGCTCGCACGCAATTTGGAGGACCTCAAATACAAGATTTCTGAAGCGCGCAAGACAGTGATGTCTCTGGAAGTCATAACAACCAACCGTGGAGCTGCGGCAGAAGAGGCACTAGATCTCTATGGTAATCTCCTATCTGCTGTGGGCTTATTTCCCCCACTACCGCCACCGTTCGACAACATCGATCTCAGGTTGGAGCTAAACACGGCCGCTGCGAATCCTCAGCAGCTATTGTTGGGTTCCGACATTCGCAAGGTCATAAAACCTACACTTAATAGTGTAGCCGAGATCAAGAGAACAGAACGAGCAGATATTGAAAGCGAGCGCATCAAAGTGGATAACGAGCTTGATCAACTGACTTTAGAATGCGAGAATGTTGACGAGGAGGTGCGAGAAATTGAGAAGAAGGTGATGAGCCTGAACGAGCAGGCGGATGACCTTCGGGATGTACGTGTATCTTCCCACTACTGTGTTATAGTTCTCATTTATACACCTTGCCGCTATAGGCTGCTCAGCAAGAGTCTATGGTCAGCAATGCCGAGGCTGCCCGATTGGAGAGAGAACTTGCCCATGCGCGCACGGCCGCCTTATCGAGTGGAATGGGAGTAAAATCAAGACTTCAGGCATTACAATTCGAGTAAGTTCCTTTTCCCACTTCAATCCAATCAATTTTTTCATTACCGTCTGCCAGCTATCGAGAGCAAATAGCGAAGGTCTCACGATTAAAAGACGAGACTATCAGAGCTATTGCCAAGAACAGCAATGAGATCGGTCTCTTTAAAGAAGAAGTTTCTGCGCAATTGCGGCGCCTGCGAGATTTTGTTGAGGAGGGGAACTGATCAGTACCCGCGTTAGGTAGTCACAGTATTTGACGTATTTGTTATAATCTAATTATATGTTAGTAGCGCTGTACCTTTCCGTAGGCGAATAATGCGGACCGAGTCCAAGCGCATGCAAAAAGTTATGTTATCCGCACTTCGCTAAACTGCACGACCTGGTCCGACTGCCCGGGCAATTTTGGAGGTTCGGTGAGCCATCGGTGAGGCACATCACTTTGGGTTCTTCCGGCTATTCGAAGCTTCCTAAGATTAAGGAGTGTTCCGAAGATTAGATTTGGACTTAATTCTCATATTGCGCCGGATTGCGCCACGTTGCGAACGCACTTGAAGTGGTTGATCATGATGGTCTGATCATAATGATGGGTCCGACCATTGTATTGGCAAATGCAAGGTACCGGCTTTGGATCGGAGCCATTAATTATCTGATAACACCCACCCACGGGTAATTGTTGTTGATGCACTCGCAGGATGATATGGAACCTTTTTTGTTGCTAATTTACATTGTGATACAGGCTAGCAAGATAGGGCAATTGTCACTTTTTGCTCGGTCTGATCAGGATTTCCATTTTGGTCACACGCGAGGAGTCTGGTGTTCGCACGTGCACAGCTTGGAGCACTAAGATCACCCTAGATCACCACGCAGGTTACGAACCCATGTATGTTTTATTTGGTAGATCTGTGCCTCCCACTGACAGCCGGTTCTCAAGCAGGACAGGAGCGCGTTCTCAGCCCCGAGACTCCTGCCAAATTAAGCTTCCGTTTCGACTCCCAGGAGTACCTTGCTACATGAAGTGACACACGTTCCGTGATCTTGCATGTAGGCCTATCGGCGCTTCAGCAATGACATATGTGTAAGTCTCAATAATTTTCTGCTGGTTGGGACAACTATTTTGGTTACTATCCCGCGAACTGCTCTTACACAGAGGAACCTTCCAAGCCGCTGTCGGAATCATGCACATAGTTATTGAATGAATGACCCGAAGCGCGGCGCCCTCCGACATCCAGTACTGAAAACAATGCTCTTCTAGGAAGATGAAGACATTTAGTTGACCGGTCGCCATCGCCAGTTTCCATCGGGCTTTGATACTGTGATTGTGTTTCACGCCCTTCACCCGAATCTCCCTGAATGCCGGTAAGCCACTCAGGAGCCGGAGTCTTGGCTGTGAACATCCTGTGTCGTGTTGGTCCTATTTTTCAAATAATGTAGCGACAGACTAATTCCGAGATCTACAGGTTCGATTGTCTTTCTCACAAGTTACCTTCTTGGAAAATATTGGAAAGAATCCGCAGTTTCGAGACGATAAAAGGACTCAAACTGAATGTCTAAAACTTCGCGCTTCTTACTTCTTCTTCACCCAGCGGGTAGTTTCTCTTCGCGACTTCGGAGCACACGATGTCTACCAAACCTGCCTTGGCTTACAATGATGTAGAGAAAGGGACATTAGATCTCCACTCTCCTCAGCTTGCCAATCTCGCAAAGGACGAGAAGAAGGAAGCAGACATCGAGGTGTTCGCCGTGCAATCTCTCAAGAAAGATGCGCCGGTTACTCCCTCAAACGTCGCGAAGCCGCCGCCAGCCCCTGCCAAAGCAAAGCACAGCACACCCCTGTGGGTCCTCTGGATAATCTGGTACAACAGTTACAGGTATGGTATTATCCGACAACATATGTGGTCGAACGCTCACCCTTTTGATTTATCAAGGCGGTTTTTCACTGTGGTGTTCACAGTCAATTTCATTGGACTTGGCTTTGCCATTGCTGGAAAATGGCCATACGCAGCAAAATATCCCGGTGCTTTGGTTGTTGGCAATTTGAACGTCTCAGTTCTTGTGCGTAACGAGATATTCGGCCGTTGCTTGTATTTGTTCGTCAACACCTTCTTCGCCAAGGTTCGTACCATGCATTTTTAAGATTTCAATTGATGTTGATGATTTTTATAGTGGACTCCTCTATACTTCCGCCTTGGGTGTACCTCAACTTTACAGGTCAGTTTGAACTCCAAATGACGATTTCAGAAAGCTGACGTTTCGTTACCACAGCATCTTGGTGGTATCCACAGCGGATGTGCAATCTCCGGCGTAGCTTGGATAATCCTCATGGTTGTACATCAATTCAAACAAAAGTATCTGTTCAACGATTCTATTCTTGCCTTCGGTGTGATCACCACACTTGTATTGTTCGTCACAATTTGTGCTGGTCTTCCGTGGGTCCGAAACACTCATCACAAGTAAGTATTCTTTTCGGTCATTCATCACAGCGTTTTTACATCGCCATCTAGTGTGTTTGAGCGGAATCACCGTTTCTTCGGATGGACTTCCTTGTGCATGACCTGTAGGCTCGACTTTGACGTAGAAAAGCTTACGACCGTACTAATTTTTCGAAGGGATCTACACTATCGTGACCAATGCCTATGACACTGCGGATGGAAAGTTCGACCACATCGGGAGATACGTCGTTCAACAGCAAGCGTTCTGGTACACAATCGGAATGTCCACCTTGTAAGTACTGCTTTACCTGCATTCTCAATTACGTTGCTCACAGCGGTTTTAGCATTGTTCTACCTTGGATTTGCACGAGACACGTCAAGGTCGACATCGAACTACCCTCTCCCAAAGTCGCTGTTCTCCGCTTCGAGCGTGGTATGCAACAGGGTCTGCTTGCTCGTATTAGTCGCTCAGCTGTCAAGGAATATCACGCTTTCGGTATCATCTCGTGAGTCTTCAGTGTCGTCGTTATGCGATACTCCTAACTCTTTACAGCGAGGGTACTCATGCAAAGTATCACTACCTGATTTGCGGTGTGCAAGGCGATTTCACCAAGAGCCTGGTCAACAACCCGCCGAGAAGGATCTGGACTCGTGAGCTGAAGGTAAAACGACATCAGCAGTTTTTTCCGATCAGATTGCCAATTTCTTTTCCAGGTCGCCGGTGTCTCTAACACATCGACCCTTTACAAGCGTGGAATCCGTATCTGCACTGGTACTGGTCTTGGTGCTGCCCTTTCTACTTGCATTCAGTCTCCTTACTGGTACCTGATTTGGATCGGTGCGACAATTTGAACCTCTGGCATATGCATATCACTGACGTTTCCGCAGGCTCTGATCAAGAAAAGACTTTCGGTCCAACCATTAGTGGTCTCATTCACAGACACGTTGGTCCAGAGCGTCTCCTCCTCTGGGACTCCAAGCTCCGTGGTGGTCGTCCACCCACCATGAAGATCTTGAAGGAGGTATACGAATACTGGCAGGCAGAGGTTGTCTTCATCACCTCCAACTACGTGGGTAACTTTGAGATCCAGCATGGCTGCAAGGAAGCTGGTATTCCTGCATTCGGAACTCTTTGGGACTTTGTGAGTGACCCTCCAGAATTTAGTCGCTGATGGAGCTGAAGAGAATGCGCTTTGTCAGTAAATTTTCCAACTCGCATTGGGCGTGGGATGCGTCGGACGCCAGACCACCCACACCCTATTTCTCATCCTTGTGTATCCAACACACTGCTCATTCTGCCTGCGCCTCCGGGAAATCTCACAATCATGTATTTTCGGGAACCAAGTTAGCCGGCGTATCAAGGTTCTTTTTTTTTCTAACTGTGACCGCGAGAGGTACTTGCTGGCGCAGACGGCTTGGTCAAACAGAAATAGCACTATTAGTTCGCTCGCAGGTGAATGAACGCTTTAAATATTTATTTAGAAATAGATGTGTTTCAAACTTTACACCACTACTCTCATTGTGCTAGAAATCAATAATTGGTGACAAACATTCCTACAGCAATCACATTTTATCATTGTAACATTAGAGTGTGCTCGAGAACCACCCCAGACTTTCCCATCCAATTCCAGCGACGATTTGGATTGATGGATGTCTTGGGTTCCAAACGGACTCCACGACGAGCAAGCTCAGTCATCACACGTGCGATGTTCCGTGTATCCTGTGGGAGAAAATAACAGTGTGAAAAAGAATATCAGCAGGGCAGAGTTACATGTGAAATCGAGTACTGACGTCAATACCGCTGTGCAAACGGCCTTGAAACGCTGGCAACCCGAGGACTTGCAACTGCTGTGGTATGTTCAATGATCGGATGTGAGAACGTGGCGAAGGCTGATAAAAGAATCGTGAGTGAGAGTGAGTCCGCATCGATGAAAGTTAATAGGCACCTTGATTGTGGTGTCCGGGTTGCTAGACGCAACTGCCCAAACCGAGACAACTTTCCTGACGTCGAGAATATCCCCTTTGAGCCACAATGGCATAGGTATCTAATAATTGATAACAAGATAATGAGATCGATCGAACTTTCAATTGGTTCACGTAGATCGGCGTAGACTACTGACCTTCGATATAAAACATTGCTTCACGACGAAATCCCTTATATCGAAAGGTCCGTCACTGCACCAACAAAAGCGTTGTATGGGTCTCCCGCTCTTTGGATCAATTAATCCGTGATTGGCCAAAAAACGTGCAAACATATTCAGAACCTTCTGGAAGGTTGGCGCTGTGTTGACTTGGACCTAATGTTCAATCATGGCATGGCATTAAAGCAGAAGTAGAAGCATCAGACGAACTTGCGTGATTCCTGTAAGTTCCGTGCAAAATTGCGATAGTTGAGGTCTCCATGTGGGCTTGACGAAGCTCCTAAACTCATCAACAATTTCCAGCTGGCAAGCTCTTCCTTGGTCCGATTTATCCTTCCAGCGCATGAGACAAACAGGCCACTCCTATGTTAGTGAGACGTGGTCAGGAACTGGGTGTAAAATGAATCATGTAATAGTAGATAAGACGAACTATGATTTCATTAGGCCACTCAAAGCCGGTCCCCTCTTCACAAGTAGCCTCAACGTCCAAAACGAGGAAGGCATCGTAGGGTGGCTTCACACGATGATCCTGCTTTTGAGCGCCTTTCACCATCAGATCTTTCTTTTGAGTTTGCGAAGACGACTTTGAAGTTGGTCTGTCAGATATTTGCGAATATGGATGATGATATATTGAAGGGATGTCTGAACCATTTAAGGGCACTCGAGGAGAGGGAGAACCCTCGACCAGCAGCGAAGAAGAATCTTTCGACTGTTTTGCGCGGCGTGTAAAGACTGTAACAGACCAGATAAGAAACGAAGAGAGTAGAAGGACTTTCCAATTAGAGCCCAGCAGTTGAATTAGGGATAGGAAAAAGGTCACAAAGGGAAATAACCCATCGAGGTTAGGGCTTGCAAGCTGCATGATGTTAGGTTGACAGTACGTCCTGGGCAATCGACTCGCTGGTAACTTGTAAGTGATGATTAAGTTCAGTTCAACGTACATTTAATGGCTTGACAAGTATGCCAATAGCAGACAGGGCTACTAGTATTTCGGCACCATCCGGCAAGCATCACGGATCGCGGAAGCAAAAAGTTTTCGGACCATTTCTAAAGTTTGTTACCGTCATTGTTCTCACCGCTACATCTTGTCTCACAGCAGCATGAATGGTCAACGAGGTGACGACTTGGACGATGACTTCGTGCCAGATGAACTCGTTGCTACCTCTGGTGAAGAGGATAATGGTCCGGGCGATGATATAAGTGGTCTTCTTAGTGCAGATGAAGATGCTGAGGAAGCGGAGGTTTATATCAAGGAGAAATCAATGACAGAAAAGAAACGCAAACGGAGGGAGAAGGAGAAGGAGCGCAAGATCAAGGTTTGTGTCACCTATCAGATCATTGGTCTCTCACTCACAATCATTATATTTCGCAGAAGAGGAAGTTAGCAGAAACAGTCGAGGTTATCGAGCCTCTTTCAGTGGCAGCGCAACCTGCTCACAAACTCGCAGACTATGTCTCATCTATGCAGGTCAAAGCTTTCCCTGCAATGTCTGAGATAGAACTCAGCGACGTCTTGATACCCGGTAAGCTCAACTACATTAGTCCTCAAAGAATGATATCAATTTAACAATTAGACAGAAGCATCGATCGCGGATACGGCGATATGGACGGGATCGAGAACATTAGACAATCTGGTTGAGTTCATCATCGAAGGTATGTCTTTTCATCTTACATGTTGCAAATGTACATTAACGTATGGTAGTTCTCCCGACACTACACACCCGTCTGTCGCAAAGATCCAAAGTGGCTGGAGCTCCCACCTTGCTGTTCATAGCCGGAGCTGCACTCCGGGTTGCTGATGCGACCAGAGTTCTCAAAGATAAGAGGCTGCGCCGTGAGAAGGGTGCAGATGTAGCAAAGTTGTTTGCGAGACACTTTAAACTGGAAGAGCACGTTTCTTATCTCAAGAGGTCAAAAATTGGTTCTGCTGTCGGGACTCCTGGAAGAATCGGGAAACTATTATGTGAAACCGGTGAGCTAGATACTATCCTGGCACATAAAACACACTTTCAATGTTTCTCAGACGCCCTTTTGGTGTCTCAGCTCACACACATTATCCTGGATATCTCATATCGAGATACAAAGAAAAGAAGTTTATTGGACATCCCAGAGACTCGGGACGAAGTATTCCGAACTGTTCTAGGGGCGCCGAAGGTACTCAAGGGTATTCAAGAGGGGAAAATCCAACTGGTGTTTTTCTAGTCGATCCCATGGGATTAAGTTAGAGTACAATACTGCATTCTATATAAAGAGGCATCACTTAAAATCCCTTCGGGTTGACTCTTAGTGTGAGCTAATAAGTGAACATTTCAATATACCATGCGCAATTAATGATAATGAACTCACTCTAGTCCATTTGGGCACTTTGTGAATGCCCTTTCGATAGCCTCGTGAAGTCGCACTGAACACCGTGTATTTATCCTTGGGATCCATCTCGTGCTCTTTAGGCAGCTGTAGTGCCTTCTCCTGAAAATACAAATTTAAACCATGAGACACAGGGAAAGCAAGTCGACTAGCTCACCAATGCACCGCATTGTATGCCACTTGCTCTGACCGTTTCAATGACTGCGTCGACTTTCTTCAGACGAGCACGCGCATTGGCTTTTCGCGTGATTGACAACTTCCATGGCGTTTTCCTGAACAGCAGATGTGATGAGAAAATGTTGCTGAATGGGCTGCACGGCTTACCATAGTAGACCGCCTAGATTTACCGACGTAGGTCGGAAAGCACCAAACATTTCGTATGCAAGTCAGTTGGTCGCCGTAGCTTAAGAGGTATTTGCCGACAGATGCCGAGCAGCATCATTTAGAACTCCGATAAGACTTAGTGAATGGACGACTTCAAGCCAAGGATCCATTAACGTCGCTCACGTCGACAACAACCATGGCGGTAGAAACACAAACTATGCCTGCCATGAACGGACACGCCTTTAATGGTGATGTCGAAATGGAGAATGGCATTCGGGATTCTTCACTCAGGTTTACCAGTGGACTCATCCTGCCACCTCCGGAAATCAAATGTAGGGTCTTTCATTATGTTGTGTGCGTTGTTCTGAGATTTGTTTTTTTTTGCAGCTGTTATTGACAGAACAGCATTGTTTGTCGCTCGCTCTGCGAACCCGCCTCAGTTTGAGGATAAAATTCGCGAGAACCAGCGTCAGGATCCCAAGTTTTCGTTCCTCAACCCCGCGGATCCTTATCATGCTTACTATAGGCATCGCATGGAGAAGATAGAGGCTGGAGAGGAGCTGGATGACACTTCACAAGAAAAGGAAAAGGTGGACGGGGTAGAAGAAATGCCAATGATTCTAGAGGATCTCGGCGTCGAACCACCTCAGCCGCAGTTCGCCATGGACATGCCCAATGTCAGCCCCATTGACTTGTGCGTCGCCTGGTTATGTCCTGCAAGAATGTGGCTAATGATTTAAGCTAGAGATATCATGAAATTGACTGCACTTTTCACCGCCCGTCGCGGAAGGACATTCTTGGCCACACTTTCGCAAAATGAGGGAAGGAACTATCAGTTCGACTTCCTGCGACCCACTCATTCTCTCTTCGGTTGCTTCAACCGTCTTGTGGAACAGTATCTTAAAATTTTGTATCCAAGTAAGGAGATGTTGGCGGAGTTGAGTAACAGAGCGCAGGAAGGCGCAAAGGGGGCAACGTTAGAGCAGTCCAAAAAATACGCCCGTTGGGAACGCTTGAAAAGGGAGAAGGATAAGAAGAGAAGAGATGACCAGGAGGCAGAGAAACGTACGTTACTTTTCCCTCCTCGACAACCAATTACGATCGTTTGCTTTAGGTGCATTTGCTGAGATCGACTGGCATGACTATGCAATCGTTCAAACGATCGATTTCACGGTTGCTGATGCAAATTCAGAGCTTCCTCCTCCAATGAGTGTGCAGGAAGTGGAGAGTATGACGCTTGCTCAAAAGAGAATGGCTGCTATGATTATGGAAAACACCGCGGATGAGATAGAAGCTCACAAAGCAAGGCAGGCTGCAGCAGAGGCCGAAGCGGCGGCAGCTGTCAGCGGTGTTGGGATTGGGGCTGTTGAAGACGAGGACGCTGCAATGGAACAGAGCGATGATGAGGACGATGAAGCGCAACTAAGGAAGAAGAGTGAAGATGAGGAGAGAGTGAGGGAACTTGAGCGCGCCCGCGCGATGCAAGCAAGTGCCAGCATTTCTGGACCTATGAAGATTAGGACAGACTATGTTCCAAAACGTTTGTTGTTAGCATTGTTCTTTCTGATAGTCAACTTACCTTTGAATATTGCAGTTGGTGCTAAGAAGGGAGCTACCCTCACGACGTGCACGATTTGTGGACAGCAGATTCCCGTTGACGAACTTGATGAGCACATGCGTATTGAGCTACTGGATCCCAAATGGAAGTCTCACCGTGACAACATCGAAGCTCGTAAAGCTCAGGCGTCTGAGCTTCTGCGCGGTGCAAACGTAGTATCGTCACTCAAAAACTTGGCCCGTACACGTGTGGACATTTTCGGTGCTGAAGCTGACGAGGAGAGGCGGAAGAAAGAGGAAGAAGAAGAGAAGGAACGCCGGAAAGAGAGGGAGAAGGTTGTGTGGGATGGTCACACTGCAACAAAAGTTTCTACGATGGACAAATATTCGACCAATGTCAACTTCGACGAGCAAATTGCTGCCATTCATCGTGCAAAGGGTCTTGGACCTCAGGATTCCAATGCGATCGGCCCTGGAATTGGCCCTGTGTCAGCACCTCCGCCTGCAATGACGGGTCTCCCTCCACCTCACGCATCATTACCTGCCCCTCCTGTGCAATCATCCGGGTCAGCTTCTTACTCTTCCGCTACTATTTCATCTGGCCCGCAGCCGGCGTCAGCATATCCACCTCAAGCACCGCCTGTCATGCTCCCACCTCTTCACTATCAAGGTCTCGACTCTGCGCAGCCGTTCGGTTACCAGCCTCCTGCCGCTGGGATGCATCCTTCTCGTATGGCAGGAATGATGGCCGGTGGTGTGGGAACACAGCCACACGCGGGTATGGTGCGCAGCGCAGACGAGATGGAAGGACTAGAAGAACAGCCCGCTATCAAACGGCAAAAAATTGCGAAACTGCCTGGTGGTGCCTTGTATCCTGAAGCAGACTGGGTTGCAATGCATCCCTACACCATATCACTCTTCGTGCAACTTCCCAATGATCCGTCTAAGCCGGAATGGAAACTTAACGGCCAGACGGTCACTGTTACAGACCTTCCTCTAACTTTGCTGGTTTCAACGCTGCGCGATCGGATAAATCAAGTCCTTGGCAGCAATCTCCCTCTTTCCAAAGTTCGAATATCGTATGCGGGTAAGATGCTGACGAACAACAGTACTATTGCTAGTCATAATTTGGAGGAGGATGATCTTGTTGTACTTAGCATCACTGCTGGTAAGAAGAAGTGATCGCTTGTACATTTATTTTTTTGTAACATAGGGTGCGTAATTCTATGAAGACATGACATATGTGATACCGATACAAGACATATAGTAAGAGTGTATAAAATAAAGTAAAAGTCAACCAAGCGTGAAATAATAATAGGCACTACAGCGCGATTGATGGACGCGATAAAAGATAGGTTAAACCCGATGTAACTCAAGACCCAAAGAAACCTGAAACCCGATGTAACCTAAGACCCAAAAAGATAAAGAGAACATCGTCATGAATATTATGCCGTAAAGTCCGCGCTGACGCTGGACCTATACTAACCGCTGCTGGTCCTGTCCAAGTCATAAGGTGACACAGCGACGACAGATGATGTTGATGATGCTGAAGGAGACGACCATGAACGATGCATGTTAGGTCTCGGAGATAACGTAGCACGACCCCGGAACGACTCCTCCTGTGATGTCTCCCATTGTTTCTGGACTGCTACTGCTACGACTGGCGTGACTGGTTGCGACGCGCTCAGAAGGTTTTCTTCAAAAGCGCCTTGCTCGCTGTTCATGGGCACCATGTCTCGCAACCACTCGTCATCCTCCTGGGAGGGGGTCTTCAGAAAAGCTGGTTGCCGACGAAATACGCTGTAGGGCGACGAGAGGTGCGGTGAGTTTGTTAGGGATGGGGGTACTGGCGTGGGATCGCACTGCTTTGGGAGATGAAGCGATACGGACCTGCCCTTGCGCATTTTTGGTGAGAAACTGTCTGACATTTTTGATGCTGAGAACGAGTCAAGAAACAAGTCGCAGTAGCAGACGAATCGCCTGGTCTCCTTTGATTTTAAAGCCAGGGGGGGGCCTGAGCCTGGTCTTCATAAATATCATCACGTACAAGCCAGATATAGGATTAATATTCGATTATTATAAATAATTTAAGTTGGTTCCACCAAGGGCGTAACTACTACCAACAAGTCGCCGGCAACGCAGCACTTCCCCAGGGAATCCCCGCACAGCTAGGGTCGATGACAAATCTGTGTTAACATAATGATCGAATCCTCGGAAAATACTTAGAAATGAAACCCGGTTATGTGTCAGGAAATCCATCTAGAACGTACAGGATTACATACTAACAAAGTTCCGAATACGAAATATATTACTAGCGCGTCATACCTAAGATCATAAAACTCGACGACAGAGTAACGCTAGAACCAAAACAAGTAGCACACAAATCGCGGTATCGAGAATTAGCGGAGGCCGGTGTGAACTACGATGTGTGACTTGCGCAGTTCCATCCATGCGGACTTGCCGCTCTTCTTCGATCCTACGGACAGGAGTGACCGTCAAGCTGTCTTGAACAACTTCGACGTCCGCGGTGTCGGCAGGTAGACCTGACGGCGGAGACAGTACGTTTGCATTCTTAGACGGCCCCTCCTTGGGATCAGGGAGATGCTCTAGATTACACTGATTACATTGTGGGCAAACCCACTCCCGTGACCTTAATGGGTTAATGGGTTACGTTAGATTTATTTAGTACAAACTAGGCCGAGGCTTACAATTGCGCCAGACGTTTGCGTTCCGATAGGGGATATTCGACAGAACCGACACCGGTAGCTGCCTGACCCTTCAGAGGGAAAAATCCTTGGAGTCCAATTATAGCTTATGAAAAAGTTCAGGCACACTAAGGCCGAATGAAAACGTAGAGAATTACCTGTGCGAACACCCCATGCAGGCTGCCATTCCTCTTCATGGTCTGAGGTACAACAGACATTAGTTAATTGACTCCACAATACTGCAGGAGTAACCAACAGTTTGTAAAGCTGATGCATATCTGATCCACAGCTCGACGTAATTCTAACATCTGATTGGCAAGGGGCGTACCTTGGTATTTAGATCGAACCGTCCATTGGGCGTAAGCATCATTAGAGAAGGTGGTCGGAAGGGGTATTCTGCTGGAAGAACTATCCGGAAATGATACAGACCACCTTCAAATTCTGTACCAGCGGGGCCACGAAGTGTACAATGCCATTCCTATAATCTGTCATTCGATACGTCAACGCACTATCGGTAAACGTTACATACAAAGATATCATCCTATGGTTGCGAAGTCCGAACAAGTGCGTGTCGGCGGTGATAAGAGACTCGTGCGTTTTAGGAGCACGCACCTCGAGAGGAACTGCATGGTAATCGGTGCAGGGATCGTTTGCGAGTTCCCTGGCCTCTTGCATTATCCGCTTCACAGCTATGTGGGTGACAGGTCAATCTACAGCCAGAGTAAGCAGACTAGTGTTGGCGCACCGGAATTGTTCTTGTTGAGTGCAGGCATCGGCGCCTCGGTGCTTCAAGCTTCAGCTGTAGCAAGAATATGGTACGGACTTGCAGTTTATAAACTATATACCGAGGATCAAACGGGCTGCTACTTGAAGTGAGAAGTAGTGGAAATCCTTCGAGATGATTGTAAACGTGGAGGGATTCAGATGGGTGGGCTATTGACGCCGTAACGGCATCACGTCTTACTACTGAGGTCACGTGGATTGAATTTTCAGGTGTTTAGTTTAAGTCCTGGTCACGACGAGCCTTATTCTGCTTTCGCGCAAACTTACACCTGGGTTCTACCGTAGCGTGGGTTGAGTACTGGGTTGGTATTCTACAGAAAAATGACGGTACACATTGCCAAGGTTAAGGTCAGACCTCGGAAAAGTGAGTCCCAAAATTATCCTCTCTGCGCAGGTCATTTAACTAATGCCACGGCCCACGCGTAGACTTACCCCCGAATGTCTGTGCAGTGGAGCTCTCAAATATGCTAGGGTGCTGGGCGGCAACAGGCGACATGCTATCCAGCAATCAATGCCAAGCGGCAGCCGAGACTTTGTTTCAATGCATGCGCACAGCAGTAAGTCTGGACAGCCGTATCTAGTATATAATGTGTTCACTGCTTCGCCCTGCAGCCTGTCCGCGGCAAACAACCTAGATCTTCGATAAATTACCACCTCGCCAGACTGGGCAGAAACTCCAAATAGTCTTATATGATATGCAGCTCCCCTTGCATCGCACACAGCTTCATGAGTTTCAGCAATGCCTGGCTTTCATTCAATGTCATTCTGAAGCGTCATACGTCAGATCATGACATGCATTTTCCGCTCTGCGCTCCCGTTGTGCTGATCTCAGGAACGTGTTGGATTTCTCCAACTAGAAAACCCTAGCTTCCTCTTGAATTTGCAGGGTCTTGTTTTGAAATGGCATTCGACAAATTGTCCGTATCTTTGGACTGTATGAGCGTCCAATGCATACATCCGTCGTGTTTCGCCCTGAAATCCAGTCCTTTGGGGTTCACATGAAAGTATTCAAGGCCAAAGCATAGATCTGTCAGGTTGCGTTCTGAACTCCGGTCTTCTAGTATTTCCATGAAACACTACCCACGCAACAGCAGGAAAACCGTCATGCACAACATATTTAGCATTCCGCAATATCATGAACTGTGTGCTACTGTGTGCGTTTGCGTTCACCTTCGATCATCCCCTGACAGCCGGCGGCCAGGATAATGTGTACGTCTGAGGGTTAGTCCGCAGTGCACCAATGTCACTTAATAACATGAAAGCATTCACGAGCCAGTCAAGTCCAAGACTATATGTCTGTACTTTATGTGCATAAGTTACTGTTACATAGAAAGCATATGCATGCAAATGCGACTAACTACGACGTTATTGTAGCATAATACAGAAAACAAAATCGCAAGAAAAGGAAAAACAGAAAGAAAAACGAGATGACGAACAAGATGACGAATCAGATGACAAAAGAGAACTACGCTAGACGAAAGATGCCAAAATAAAAGGGAAATACTATCGGGGACCTATCTTCGAAGAAGACATTTGTGTAGAGGGCTGTTTCGCCATGTCTTGCTGCCGTTGCCATATTAACTCTGCCCATAATGGATTCGGTGGGATGTGCCCGACAAGTGCACGGAATACATCAAGCCTGGAAAGACATGTAAGCCGGATAGCGTGTGTGAACGAGGTTGGACATACCACTTCGCCTTCTCATCATCCGTGTCTGCGAAGAAAAATATTTCTTGGTTTCCAGGAAATACGAGACGGAAGGAACGCTCGACTGTGATCATCCCGTCGTAATCATTTACTGACCGAGCAGGACTGAGAGCGTCCGTACGCGTATCTTGGTTGTCCTCAACTGCGATGGCTTTCTTGAGGTTGATGGTGGCCGTTGCCTTCTTAGTGACATCGTTAAATGCAACAAGATTCGCGCCAATCACCCGGAGACGTCGTCGCCGCCATGTCTGCAGTGGAACTAAGTAACCGCTCACGAGGTGGTAAGAATAGCGTACCATGCAATCCCCTCCATGCTGCGTTAGTGTACCCTCAAAGTACGTGACTTTATGCCAGGCGACGTGTCTTAAACCCCGATGACAGTCTTCAAGACTCTGTGGAAGCTGATTGCTCAAAACGCCAGGTAGAGGTGGAAGTCTAAACATCTGCAATACGATCTCTCCCAACTCCATGGTAGTTGGGCCCCCTGAAGCTTCGATGCGCTGTCCGATTAGTGGATAACTAGTCTCGAATAGCCGAGTATCGCATCTCGCAGCCACATCTTTGAATGAAATCAATGCACGTGCGAGGGTGCCATCCTGTTTGAGATACCGTGCGAGATTATCTGGGAGTTTATAAGGAGGGGCAGGTGGAGGGGGTGGAGTCGCACGAGGTTGTTTTTTAGGCGATGATTGGAAGAAGCTGAGCATGCCACCTCTAGACTTGGGTGCAGCTGCTGGGGGCTGCACACGTGGCGCAGGGGGTGGCACAAGAGCCTGTGATTGGGCGGTGATATGTGCATCACGGCGCACCTTGAGGGTTAGAGTGAACTCTAGCTTGTTGTGCTCGATACTGTCGTGGGATTAGCACAATCTACAAAATTGATAGCGACAAACTTACAGCTCAAACTCTTGATCGATGCGCGAATCTCTGGATAGACGGGTTTCTGGAGTAGTAACAAAATGTATTCCGTTGTTCAAAGTACATGTGAGAGCTGTGGCTTGCTGGGGTATAGGCACTTGCAAGCCGCGAACACCAACGACTGTATATCGATAATCTTATGAGATATAGCTTTCAAGGGTAATATAGTTTTACTGACCTCTGACAAACACCTTGCCATGCGCCTTCCCAGGCTTCTCCATTGACCTATATTCCTTGATTTGCTTGGAATATTCATTCTAGAACATTAAAAATATTGGAATCAATTGCGGAAGAGGTAAACAATCAATTACCATATCCGATGGTCGTCGGACGGCTTTCCATGCCTTTCCACCATTCACGTCACCAGCAACTGACATATGAGAGACCTGCTCTGTATCGGCGGACGCAAAAATCGCCTCATGCTCTCGGATACGATATTTCTGCGTACAGATCAACGTAAGCACCTTAACATGCAACAAAAAACCAGATAGCTTACCCCTTTCCTATGTTCAGGATCAAGTTTCTTCAACTCTTTCGAGATGCTGTCAGCTAGAAGGTCGCCTTCACTGTCAGAGATGCCGAGGTCAAGAAGCATATCACTTTTCGCCGGGGCACCAGCGTCACCAGTACTCTGACTCCGCCGACGTGAAGGTCGGCCAGCGGGCGCTGCACGGGGCGGGGTATAATATCCCAGCGATTCATCATCATCTCGTCTTCGTGCCGCCCGACGCTTCTCGAGTATAAGTTCCTCTCTCTCACGTATCGCATGCTTCGTCTGCAACGGTTGCTCCTCTGCCACCACGGGGCTGCTGAACGCTGGGGCGGTGTACACTATCGAGTCCGTCGCCGCGCGCTGCAATGGTGCCGCCCGCGGTTGTACCACATGGCTGTCCATGGACATCGACGCATCGAAGTCCGTCTCCGTGCGCATAGAATCATCGCCCGTACCAAAGCTGTTGTCGAATTGGCCTGCTCTGATGCCCTCAGTGACAGACTCGACGCGCATGTGCGTAGGCCTTCTCGGGCTTGGGCTCCCGTTCGCTGTGCCTTTGACATCATCCATGAGTCTGTCGAGTGCCGAGCGCATCTCGCTGAACTGGACGGAGTTCACAGAATCTCCAAGACCTGGACTAAAGCCGAGGCTGCTGTTAAGCTCGAAACTAACATCAACAGACAGCCCGATGTTCGTAGGCGGTGGAGCAAGAAGGTCGAGGGAGTTCCTTGTAACGGCAGGATTCGGGGACCCTTGCTGACTTAGTGCAACAGCCGCAGAGTTAAGCGTGCATTTCTCTGCAGTTTGGATAGTTGCAAGCTCGGCGCTAATATCCGTCATCACCGACATCGACTCCACGCGTTTCTCCTGTTCTTTATCTTCTTCGGTCTCCACATCACTGATGATGCTGTCCTCCTGGAGAAAGTCGCAGGATGCGATTTGATGGAGAGGCTTTGCATCAGCAGCTTGCTCAGCCACACTACCCAGCACCAAAGGACTGTCCGTACTGCGCTTGCGCGTGGGGCGCATCTGCATGTCCTTGTCGAGGGCAGAGCGCACCTCACCAAGCTGCACTGAGTTCATGGAGTCACCAAGACCTGCACTAAGATCAAAGCTGTTTGAAATGTCATACGTCGTGTCAGGAGATGAAAGAATGTTCGTAGGTGGTTGAGAAATAAGTTGAGTTGGGTCCCTCAACGGCATAGCGTTGGAACTCGGGGACCCTCGCTCTGCAGCTTGAACAGTTGCGAGCTCGGTACTAATATCCATCATCACCGACACCGACTGGACGTGCTCCTCCTGCTCTTCATCTTCAACTTCTACATCGGCAACGTCGTTGCTATGAGACTCGGTTTGTTTTGGGAGTTGTACATCTGCGTCTTGCTGAGATATACTATCCGACGCCATAGGACTATCCGAGCTACGTTTTCGCATGAGACGTGTATGGATATCCTCTCTGCTGATGCGAGTCCTTGGGGAGCGTCCTGCGCTGCTATCAATGGAAAGGTTAGGCGAACTCGCGGACTCGCAGAGCGGGGAGCCTTGGCGTAGGGCAGGTGAATCCCGACGGATGGCTGGAGGAACGATGGGTGAAGGGGGGTTCTGAATGGAGCCTACGAACTCCAAGAGCGCAGAGGGAATTGGATCGAATACTGTGGCTGCCTGCTCGCTTTGACCAGGGCTGCGACGGTCATCTTCTTCAGAATAGAAGGTATCATGCCGGCCTTCCTCACAGTTCAATTCCAGGACATCAACATCCGGACGGACGGTTGGCGGACTGATATGTGACGGGAGGCTCGGAGGAGGGTCTACTAACTCTAAGAGCTCAGAAGGAAGGGAGCCAAATATTGCGGCCGCCTGGTCGCGGTGATCAGGATCAGGGGTACCATAGTCATCTTCATCAGAATGAAAGGGATCATTTTCCCCTTCCTCGCGGTCAAACTCAAGGACATCACAACGCTCATCCCATGTTACGGTTTTTCGTCTCCGGCGCCTACGTTCAAGGGAGGGCTGGTCAGCAGTTCGAGGACCATGGAGGCGTTTGGTAACGAGCGATGGGCGGGTGGGGGTAGTAGCCTTTGGTGGATTTGCACTCCTAATATCAGAAGGCTCTGGAATCGGCGGGATAGGGATGGACTTGGAAGGTACTGGGGGTGGAGTTTCCTCCTGGGCGCCAGCAGGACGTTTGAATGGGCTCTTTGTGACAGGCTCCTTCTCCGCGAGTCCCTGGTAGACTTTCGACTGGCGGCGCTCCCGCTTGAGGGCAAATGGACGCTCGTTTTCAGCTTGGTCATGCATGGAGTCGGGGCGGGGACGCTTCTCGCCACTGACCCTACGCTGTGGGGGTTTAGGGAGAGGGATATTGCTAATTGGAGAAGTAGAAGGTCTGGATGGCGTTGGAATTGAAGACTTGAAAGGAGATTTGGAAACAAGATTGTTGTTTCTGAGATGTCTGTAACTGGATGAGGATCGACGGGCGACGAGGGGAAAGGCTGGTTTAGAGCTATCACGCTTTGAAATTCGAAGAGGTGTAGTGCCCATGCTAGCAATCGGTGAAGAAGACTTGTTCCAGCCCATGGCAGAATTGCGACGTATGGATGATTGAACAGGATCAGACGAGTTGGAAAGGAGCGATTGTGGTGCCGCTGTGGAATTTATATGTGCGCTCATTGTGAGCGCTATTATATGGTTCACCACCTGATGTCGTCGCTGTCGTGAACGTTGAGCTCGATAGTGAGCTGGTCGTTAGGATCGTTGGCGAGCGTATCTCGGTTGTGGTAATGAACAAAGTTAATAGTCAACAAACACCGTGGGAATTTACGCGTACGCGTCGATGCATGTGATCGCGAAGTAGAAGGACTCGAGTAAAAATCTCTTCTTGGCAGCAGGCTTAATTCCGCACATCTCGGCTGCATTATTTATCATTGCCCCTCTCATGGACCAGCCAGGGCTAGCCTGGCATACCTTGATTGGATGATTGGCTCGGTGGTGTCCTTCAAGTAGTTGGACTTGATGAAGAATCCCCGAAGGTACAAGATAAAGTTGCAACCTAGCAATCCATGGGGTTAGTATCATATCTCCTGTCAATCATTGAAATTTTCTATCCACAACCGAGCCTTCTTATAACCCCACGTCACGTCTTCAGCCTTCCTATTCCAACGTTGGTGAATTGTGGCTGGCTCCCTAACTGATATCATTTTCACATCTCATGCCGTGGAGCTTCTAGGCTGTGGTGTCACAACAGGTGAAATTCTAGCGAACGCCAAGCTGCATGCAAACCGCAGTAGTAAGTGCTCATTGGACGTATTCGATGACAACCCAGCCTGAGTCCGCAACGGTAAACTAGTTAGATCGTCGATAAATTACCATTTCGCTAGACACTCCAAATGCTCATCCTACTTCTATCTGTAGTTCCCCGTGCCTAACAATTCATGCACGTACCACACCATGCCACGACTTGGTGATTCTACAGCACGACTAACACGTGTTTTCCACACCTTTTCCCCGCTTTTACATAACATTCGCTTGCTGCGTTATTTAGGGGGACTATAACGAGAGCCGAGAAGGTTAGGTGGAGGCCACACTCACACGGCTGTAGCCTGTAGGTCACTGGGCTATTCTATTTTTTATTCTTGACGCCGGAACAAGTTTAAGCAGATAATACAATTCGGGGGTTAGTTTCTCGTAACCACGCACAGCAGTGCGCACTCATCGGACTTTGTCTTTCTCCGTTTTTTAATCCAGCGGCACAACAGCAAGTGCGCAGGTGTAGAACAGTCGCATTTGCAGCATTGAGGTAAGCATACTTGTGACTGTGCAGATGTGCGGTGCAACACGCCCACTAGGCTGTGTAGCGTTAAGTAACCCCCCAAAATGGAAGGCAGTCCACTTAACGGCATGCTTGGTCCAGTACAAATTAAGGGCTCCTGAGTTCACGAGACACCTCACTTATTCCCCCTCCCAAATGAGAGTCTCATGTCAAACAATAGAAAGGTCGCTATTTTCTGGGACTATGGTAAGCTTTCTATGCAACTGCCTACTATAGCTCATGTCCTCTGTCAGAAAATTGTAGCCCTCCCTTGAATTCTCAAGGACATGCCATTGTAAATGGCATTCGACGAATTGCTCATGTCTTTGGATACGTAATATCGTTCAAAGCATACTTCGACATGTCCTCCCAGTCCTCCCAGAAGTCTGTCGGGTTTCGCTCTGACCTTCAGTCCTCTGGGGTGTCCATAATTGACTGCCCCCACAACGGCAAGAAGGAAGTCGTGGACAAGATGATTCTTGGTGTGTATTCCGCAAGGCGCCCGTAGTGTGCACTATGAACTTCATTTTTAGTGGATATGATTACATTTGCTGTCGATAATCCTTCACCTGCCACCGTTATCCTGATAGCCGGTGACCGAGATTACGCTTATGCCATATCAACCCTCCGCCTTCGACAGTATAATGTCGTTCTCGTCGTACCTCCAGCCCCAAATATTCCCCAGAGCTTGGAGTCTCAGGCCTCTGTCGTGGTGGATTGGAATTTTGCTATTCTTGGAAAGCGCACAGAAACCGATACAGCACCGGTACGGCAACCTTATCGCAACCTTGACGAAGATATCGTAGAGCGGTTATCACGCGAAATTTGCGATTCAAACGAAGATCCTGCTGTCACTCTTCTTTCTTCGAATCTCCCCACAGCACCGGCCCATACGCGGCGTGTCAGTGCAGCAGAGCTGCTACAGCCGTCAGTATTTGAAGAGAGTTCAGACACAGCTCCAGGTGATGCTACTCAACCTGCCTCGACGTTGACGCCGAAGAAGGTTACTAGCAAAATCCATGAGACGCCTGTACATTATAGATTCGGGTCTGTGGCGTCGCGGACTAGATCCGCGACACAGTCGACACATAGTGTCTCAGACCTCGAACAAGGCTCAGGCTCCCCTCTCAAAGAGCACAAAGCACTTTCAAATGAAAGTCTCGCGGACAGTTTCGTTAGCTACGCTAACGAGATTCAGGATGCGACTCAAGATCCTTTTTCCAGAACCTTTACCGGTCTGGAACGCAATCAGAACAGCGCAGAGTCTGGCCCACTATCGGCCACAGGCTCAAGTAACTTCCCACTATCTCCACCGCCCGCTGTCACGTACAATGTGGATTCGAAGAACACTCCCCTCCCCCCTTTATCACACACCCGTACCATCTCAGGGGGCACCCCCATCTCATACGACGGCAAACCCCAGAACGCTGTGCCTGCTGCAATGCCCTCGTCACCTATAGTATCCTCACGGGGGCGGAGTGATGACATTACTCCACCGAGTTCAACGAACATCGACCTTACCTCAGCCATGTTGGATAATCATGCCGTTGCGTCGGACAAAGCGGCACTCCAGGACGCCTTTGGAATTGATGACGAAGACGGAGATGACAGCAGCACTAGCGAGTTTGATACCTCGCCTGACAGTCCAATTTGGACTACGGTCGACGTTACGAACTCTCTGTTTGATCCTCCGCCGAGTCCCTTTACCCCTCCACATTCTGTAATCACCATGTCTTCGTCGACGCCGTCTTCGCCGGCTCTGACTGTCTCCGATTCTGACGTGAGCACGTCTAACGTTGACGTTGACTCACAACAAGCATCGTCTGTTATCAGTGATAACGAAGACAATCCTTCTGCGTGTCAAGCGCCTCTCATCGAGTCCGTGGAAGATAAGATTCGACGCAATACACCTTCGAAGTTCCTCCCCCTGATGAATCAGCTTTTACTGGCGAGGTCAAAAGGGGAAGTGAAACCATTAAGGTCCACAATCGCTGTTGACTTAATGCAACATGACAAGAATGTATACCTGAGCGCTGGAGTGACCAGGTTCGCGCAATACACTGCACTAGCAGAACATGCTTCTCTTATCCAGCTTGGTGGGCGGGAGGGCGACGCATGGATAACACTCCATCCGAATTTGTTTAGGCAGGACATCGATTTGGATACACCTCAGTCATCATCCACCTCATCGACTGTCCACGACAACAATTCTCCTACGCCACAGAACAACATTCCTCATACCAAGACGCCAAGTCCGACTTCATCTCCATCAGCTATGCCACCACCGACGCCAGGAACCACCAAACCACCCCCACTGAACCCAAACGCTGAACCTTTCAGGGCAATTGTGCCGATTCCGCTTTGCTTCCGGCCGCTCATTACCTGTCTGGCGAAGTTTCACACGGATGGGGTACCCAAGCCTGTTCGTTCAGTAGTTGGTCAAGGGCTTGGACTCGCGGCATATTCTCAAGCTGGCACATCCAGCCTGAAAGAATATCTGGTTCAAGCCGTGCACGCCGGTGTTGTGGAATGTGGAGGACATGGTGGTTCCGCGTGGGTGAGGCTCCACCGTGATGTGTTGAATGGAAAGCGTTCTTATTAGTTTGGTTTGTTGTTTATGTACGTTACGGTCCAAGTTTGTTACTTGTTCAAGTTGTTGTACGAGTGTATATCGGATATCGGGAATCAAGCGTTCCCTGTATTTCATTAACAGGAAGTCGACACATAAGTGACGCCTCGTCCCTCGACAAGATCTGAGACACCCATCATTGTTCCTTGCTCTTTCAGTGGCGCCCATGCAACATCTTCGACCAGTATTTCAGCATTTGGGATTCTGTCAGGAGAGCGTGGCAACTTAGTTGGGCTCAATTATCGGCAAGATAAAATCAATGCTCACCTCTATTCTGCGACAGCCATTCTAGTCATTGACCAATTCATCGAAATAGAAGGAACACTGAGTCGACTCCGTTGTATTGAACGGGCAACAGGTCATCTGTGTCGAGAGCGATTGCGAGGTATCCTCGCTGACGGGACGTGACTTGACTGGGATCCATGATATTCCCAGTCCACGCAAGTTCAACTACAGTGATGCCACGCGGAAACCATAAAGTTCTGTAGACGTTGTGCAAGTCGCTCAAGACGCCCAACAAAGTTCAAACACAAGATCTTCGAGAGAGGATGGAAGAGCCCGTGTTGTCTTCGAAGCGGGTATGTCCCAGAATGCCCGTATAACACGACATGCAGGTTACCAAACAGCATGATAACTTATGAGTAGTATTCAACAGAAAAGTCGTCGAGAAAAATTTTCATTGCGACGGGCCCACCTGTCACTGACCAAAATTTCGAGCAGCGCTTCCCAATATTTATGACATCCTTCATTACAGTCTACCACTGGCCCTGTTTATTTGGTGCCATCGTAATCCATAACAACGAGGCAATGAAATAAATCAATGAAGAGCAGGCTAGAGACTCCTCTGGACCTGGTCACCTTCAGACAAAATGCATGCAATGACTAAGCACTTATAAATTGTGGGTGTTAACTTTGAGTCAAGACCGGCTAATTTTGGGGTCATCCTCTCTATCGACGAACACTCTCCGATGGAGTTGACAAGGTGCAGTACCGATTATCATAATTTATGCGACTGGCTAATATTTACATAAAAATGTAGATAATCGTGACATAGCCTACAGCTGTTCGGACGAATGGGTTGCACGTAATAAGGTCAATGGAACTAACTTTTAGGATCCGACTTTTTCCTCGTATAAGAGTCAAGCCCAGTCATTCGTTTTACGTCTGGGTTAAGACTCACCTGCACCATGACGACAAGTGTGCATCCTAACGCACAGGCAGGCTTCGCGACTGGGACGAATGAATTGTATGATCGGTGGGTGAACTATTTGCGCGGTCTGCATGCGTTAATTGGGTGCATCTAGGGTTCGCCCCTTGTACCCAGCCGATGGTCTTTCTTATGTTTTCAGCCAAGTAGCCAAGAGCACCATACCATTGAAAATCGTTGAGTAAGTTAAATGCATTACTTCTGTACTTTCTCCCCTCAATTAGCTTTCAGGATTGGGGCAGGGACGGGCATGTTCACCCGTGCCTTGTTAGCTCACTCCGAATGGTCGCCGAGCATAGGCACTCTGCGAGCTATCGAACCAAGTGGTGGCATGCGTGATTTTTGGACGAAGTCTGTCCAAGATAATCGCTGTACTATTGTCAATGGGACATTTGACGACACCGGCGTGGAAGATGGGTGGGCAGACTTCATTATAATCTCACAGGCGAGTAGTTCTAGACTCAATTAGATGAAGAGGCTCATCCCTCGGTTATATAGGCATTCCATTGGTGTCTCGACTATGGGAAGGCTTTCACTGAGTTCGCTCGTATCTTGAACAAGGACGGGGCGGCTGTATTTGCATGGTACCTTGCAGATAGGTTCTCTGCTGTAGTTCTCGCCTGTATCAAATCTTCTAACAGCGCTGCAGGGAAGCTGCAGGTTGGGTTGCGCAAGTCCAGCACTGTGTTGAGGCCCGTGTGAATGGTAGTCCCCGATTTCGCCTCGATGTCTTGAGGCAGGGGTTCTCTACCCCTGAGTATACCTCATCATTTCATCCCCAAGAAGAGAAACACTGGGCTCATCATGGTCTTGCTACCGACCAAACTGTCACGGATCGCGCCCTCAGTTTGAGTTACATTGCGATGCTCCCTTCAGATGAAAAGGCCAAGGTAGCGGAGGGCATCAAAGGTATTCTTGAGCGAGGAGATGGTAAAGTCTGGATCAACAAGGAGCAGGGCACGTATCAGGACCCACATATAGCTCACGTGATGATATCAAGAAGGAAGTAGAACCGTTGAGTAGTTGTCTATGGGCTTGTGGATCTTTAGATGATCACCAGCCGGGACTATGTGTATTTCGAAATTTGCTATGACGACCATTATGACAGTGGTATTTGGAGAGACTACACCTACGTTTGCGATGGATCCCGAAGTCAAAGCTCTTCGCCAGATTATGACTACATTTCGTACAACCGAAATCAGGTATTAGACTACTGTGGCAATATACACTGCTAATGGCAGTACATTTTTACCCGAGGGGCAAACCAAATTTCAGGCCAAGTTATCGGAAGCTTCAATTGAAGGTAGCTCAGTTTCCTATTGTACTTAATTCTATTGATTCGCTGACCGACAATTTCTTCCTCTGCCAGGCGCGAGGCTTTGAGATTGAGAAGGCCGGTGGTAGGCTATTACAAGCTTAATTGCCGCTATGCGAGCCTGAGTCCTGTTCGGCAGGACATTCGGCTTGACTTATCCTCACAGCGTCACTGACTCACACGTCAGTCACATCACGTGAATTTGGTCCTTACCACTGCTGGCCTTGTTCATCGTAATCCATAACAACGAGGCAGTGAAATAAATCAATGAAGAACAAGCTAGAGACTCCTCTGGACCTGGTCAAGCCTTCAAGTAAAATGTATGCAATGACTAAACACTCATAAATTGCGGGTGTTTAACTTGAAGACCCAATTGAGAAATCGACTGATTTCGAGCTCGTCCTCTCTATCGAGTCTCGACGAACACACCGTCAAGCGAATTGTCAAGATGGAGTTGACAGGGTCACGGTGCGGTGCCGATTATCATCATAATCCATGCGACTGGCTAATATTTACATAAAAATGTAGATAACCATGACATAACCTACTACAACAGCTTTAAGTTGTTCGGACGAATGGATTGCACGTAATACGTATGGCCAGTGGAACTAACTTTTAGGATCCGACCACCTGCACCATGACGACAAGTGTGCATCCTAACGCACTGGCAGGCTTCGCGACTGGCACGAATGAAGTATATGATCGGTGGGTGAACTATTTGCGCGATTCGCATGCGTTAATTCTGTTGATTTGGGTGCATCTAGGGTTCGCCCCTTGTATCCCGCCGATTGTCTTTCTTATGTTCGCAGTCAGGTAGCCAAGAGCACCATACCATTAAAAATCGTTGAGTGAGTTAAATGCATTATTTCTATACTTTCTCCCCTTAATTAGCTTTCAGGATCGGAGCAGGGACGGGCATTTTCACCCGTGCTTTGTTGGCTCACTCCGAATGGTCGCCGAGCATAGGCACTCTGCGAGCTATCGAACCAAGTGGTGGCATGCGTGACTTTTGGACGAAGTCTGTCCAAGATAATCGCTGTACTATTGTCAATGGGACATTTGACGACACCGGCGTGGAAGATGGATGGGCAGACCTCATTATAATCGCACAGGCGAGTAGTTTTAGACTCAATTAGATGAAGAGGCTCATCCCTCGGTTATATAGGCATTCCATTGGTGTCTCGACTATGGTAAAGCTTTCACTGAGTTCGCTCGTATTTTGAACAAGGGCGGGGCGGCTGTATTTGTATGGTACCTTGCAGATAGGTTCTCTGTTGTAATTCTCGCCTGCATCAAATCTTCTAACAGCGCTGCAGGGAAGCTGCAGGTTGGGTTGCGCAAGTCCAACACTGTGTCGAGGCCCGTGGGAATGGCAGTCCCCGATTTCGCCTCGATGTCTTGAGGCAGGGGTTCTCTACCCCTGAGTATACCTCGTTATTTCATCCCCAAGAAGAGAAGCAATGGGCTCATCATGGTCTTGCTACCGACCAAACTGTCACGGATCGCGCCCTCAGTTGGAGTTATATTGCGATACTCCCTCCAGATGAGAAGGCTGAGGTAGCAGAGGGCATCAATGATATTCTTGAGCGAGGAGATGGTAAAGTCTGGATCAACAAGGAGCAGGGCACGTATCAGGACCCACATACGGCTCGCGCGATGATATCAAGAAAGAAGTAGAACCGTTGAGTAGCCATCCATAGGCTCGCGGATCTTTAGAGGATCACCGGCCGGGACTATGTCACTTATGGGTATTTCGAAATTTGCTATGACAACCATTATGACAGTGGCATTTGGGAAGACTACCTACGTTTGTGATGGATCCCGAAGTCAAAACTCTTCGCCAGCTTATGACTACATTTCGTACAGTCCTGCGCTCTGGCACTTACTTGATCCCCTTGCTCAAATCCTTCCTTGGTACGGCCAAACATTGAAGCAGGGGTTTGGAAACCACCGGATACTCAGACGAACCGCCTGAAACAATGATTAGTACGTGTCTTTGATCTGAATAATTTGAAGACTGGCAGAATCAATCTTCGAATTGTTGCAAAAAGAGTAATGGGGACATTAGGCCTTCGTTCAGAAAGCATTTGCTAGAGAACGCACATGTTTATGGCGAGGTGGAATGTCTTTCTGGAGCTGATGATCAAGAAGGATTGAGGCCGTTGGGTTCCGGTGGTAGGCATCTAAAGTTTACGCCATCCAGGATTTTCTCACCGATCGACGAAAGACGTGATCTTGGCAAGTGCTGTACATTCAATGACATACGAAGGATGATCTGGCATGTATTTCAGCCGGGACTGTGGTACTCGGCGAGGTAAGCTTCGTCCTTCAAGCTTCAATTCCAAATACTAGCAATGACTGCTTCTCGCAAGATCCCGAAGTTTATCCTGCTAGCGTTGGATTAATAACCAACCAAGTCATTGTTCCTCTAAATATTATAGGCCACGCAATACGATATCCATCCAACGTTCGTATGAGCATCATCACAACAAGAATTTCGGCCAGAACACTGAAGACTAGAATCAGACGCTGCCACCAACTAGCACATTGCTTGCACTCAATCTTTCACTGATTAACCACTAGACTAGGACACTCCGTGTGAGAACTGCACGCACAGCTGTGCCAGGTAGGTCTCTCACACGCCGCATTTCCTTTGCAAGATCACCGGCACCACCAGCGAATGCCGCACCTATGTATACACACCTTCATTCTATGTCTTGTGGGTCACTGTAGTATTGGCTTGACGCCCGTAGACTATATAGTGGGTGATACCTCCGCGCTGGTCGGACTTTGCTTTCAAGTCAGCGACGTGGTAGAATACACTCGAATACTCCGTAGAGACGTTGTTTGCAGAACAACAATTCAAGCATGTTCGATTTGCATTTGCTCCTTCAGATATCTGCAAGCGCTGCCAAGCGAGCCTCGAGCGAGCCGCACTGCCCAGGAGCGGCGCAAAATTACCGCCCCCGAAATAGAAGCGGTTTATAAACTTACGACACCTCGATTCCTCGAGTCTGGAATTGAGGGACTACGTACCCGTGCCAGCCTGAGTACACGACTTATACCCTCCTTCGCCAATGCGAATTTCATGTCAAACTATAGTAAGGTCGCTATTTTCTGGGATTATGGTGAGTTTCTACGCACAGTCGCCTCTGATAGTTTATGAGGTATATCTTCCGTCAGAAAATTGTAGCCCTCCCTTGAATTCGCAAGGACATGCCATTGTAAATGGTATTCGACGAATTGCTCATGTCTTCGGATACGTCACATCGTTCAAAGCATACCTTGATGTATCCTCACAGTCCCCCAAGTCTGTCGGATTTCGCTCCGACCTCCAGTCCTCCGGGGTGTCCATGACCGACTGTCCCCACAACGGCAGGAAAGACGTCGTGGACAAGATGATTCTTGGTGTGTATTTTGCGACTAGCATCTGTACCATGCACTATATGCACTATGAACTTTCGTTTGTTACTAGTGGATATGCTTGCATTTTCCAACGATCATCCTCCGCCTGCCACCATTATCCTGATAGCCGGTGACCGAGATTATGCCTATGCCGTATCAACCCTCCGCCTTCGACAGTATAATGTCGTTCTCATCGTACCTCCGGCGCCAAATGTTCCACAGAGTCTAGAGTCTCAGGCTTCTGTTGTGGTGGATTGGAATTTCGCTATTCTTGGAAAACACACAGAAGCCGACACATCACCGGTACGGCAACCTTATCGTAATCTTGATGAGGATATCATCGAGCGGTTGTCGCGGGAAGTACGAGATTTGAATGAAGATCCTGTTATCACCCTCCTTTCCTCTTCCCTCCCCACACCGCCTGCCCATACACAGCAGCAGCCATCATCGATAGAAAGAAATACGGACTCAGGTCATGCTGCTCAGCCTGCATCGTCGTGCACGCCGAAGAAGGCTGGTAGCACAATCCCCGTGACACCTGTACTTCCTAGATTGGGATCTGCAGCGTCGCGGGCCAGATTCACGACAAAGTCGACGCAGACTGTTTCATACGTTGACCGAGGCTTAGGTCACTCTCTCAAAACGAACGATACACTTTCAGAACTTTCAGATAATAGTCTCACAGACGATTTCGTCAGCATAGCTGATGAAATTCAGGATGCGAGTTACGATCCCTTTGTCACAACCCCCAGCTCAAGCTCGGGACCAGAACGCAACCATAACGTTGCAGAGCCTGACCTAACACCTACCATGAACTTGAGGAACGCTCCACTATCCCCATTTCCTACCATCCCGTATAATTTGAATCCACAGAGCGCTCCTCTTGGCTCTCCGTTTCAGACCCGTATCATTTCAGGGGGCACCCCCGTCTCGTACGGCAACACACCACAGGACTCTGTGCATACTGCGGTGCCCTTGTCACAATCAATAGATGTCGACCCTACCTCAGCCATGTTGGATAATCGCATCGTTATGTCGGACAAAGCGGCAATCAAGGATGCGCTTGGATATAATGACAGAAACGGAGACAACAGCAGTACCGACGAGCTTGCAAATGTCTCGATCAGCAGTCCACTTTCAACTGAGGTCGATGATCCTTCATACGCACAGGTTGCGAACTCTGCTTTTGTCGATGATTCTCCCTCCACCCCTGAACCTTCTGTAATTCCTATATCTCCCACGTCATCGTCGCCATCGACACCATCGACACCATCTTCATTGACACCATCTTCGTCCTCGATCGCCTCCGATTCCAACGTTACAATGGCTAACGTTAAGACCGGATTACAACAAGCAACATCTGTTATCACTGATAATAAAGACGAATCCTCGGGGTGTGGAGCGCCTCCTATCGACCGCGATTCCATCGAAGATAAGATTCGAAGACTTACACCCTCAAAATTCCTTCCGTTGATCAACCAGCTTCTGCTGGCGAGGTCGAAAGGAATCCTGAATCCATCAAGGTCCGACATTGCTAATGACTTAGTTCGGGTTGACAAGGATGTATACAAGCGCGCAGGCGCAACGAAATTTGCGGACTATGCTGTGCAAGCGAAAGAAGCTTCTTTAATTGAGTTTGGTGGGGGAACGACTCGAAGCAACTCATGGATAACGTTGCACTCAAGGTTCAGGCGGGAACTTGATGCACCAAAGTCATCAACCCCTTCAACTAGTAATAACCCCCCTACACCACAGAATAATACTTCTTCGTCCATGGCTCCGACGCCGCTGTCATCCACTGCATCACAGGGGACAACCAAGTCAGCTTCACCGAACCCTAGCCCTCCACCAGTTGTACCGATCCCGCCTTGCTTCCAGCCACTTATCACCAGCCTATCTAAAATTCACAAGAATGGGCTGGCGAAGCCCTTTCCTTCAACAGTGGGCTTAGTGATTGGACCCGAGATATATTCTAAAGCTGGGGCGTCCAGTCTGACAGAATATTTTAGTCAAGCAATGGATGCTGGTGTTGTACAATGTGGAGGAGATAGTGGACATGCGTGGGTGAGCCTCCATCCTGATGTGTTGAGTGGCAAGCGCTCTTGCTAGTTTGATCTATACTGTCTCCGGGCGTTACGGAGCTTTATCTTCATTATCTGTTGTATAAGTATGTATTATAAATCAAGCATTTCCGAGAAGAGAGCTATATTCCAAGGAAGTCGACACACAGGTGACGTCCTCGTCCTCTTCTAAAGCTTCGACGAGATTTGAGACACTGTCTTTCTCATCGTCGGTGCTTCCTTGCTCTTCCAGCGGGGCCCATCTAACCTCCCTGACAAGTATTTCAGCATTATCGTTCTGCTGGATGTACTGACGAAGTCCATCTTCTAACTTGAACAACTCATCGGGAGAACATGCCAGCTAGGACTCGATGAGTTCAATTCTTGAAAACAAAATTTGAGGGCGTACCTCTATTCCGCGACTACCACTGGAATCATCTTCCCATTCGTCGAAATCAAAGGCACACTGAGTCGACTCTGCTGTGTTGAACAGGTCTTCTATATCGTTTGGGTCGAGAGCAATTTTGAGGTATCCTCGCTGACGGAACATGAACTTGACGGGAGCCTGTCGAGCACTGTAATGGTATTGAAGCAACATGTTGATGAAAAAAGAAGAGGCTGGACGGACCCATGACGGTTGAGCACTTCCCTCACATTACTGAGGGTGCGGTTGACGTTATCAGTCCTACATTCTCTTCCCACTGGTTTGGGTACAATGTCGAAGAATTTTGGTAGGCACTTACATGATGATGCCCACAGAGCCGTGCATCATGGCTTCATAAGTGACAGCTTGACCATTGTTGTTCTTCCTTTTGAAAGCCTGTAGGACCCAGTGAGCCGCGACAGCGGACGGTGAGCGTGTGTAGTACGTGCCTTGAGCAAAGCATTCTCAATGTTCTCTTTCGGGACACCGGCGTCTTTTGCGCGTCGGACGGCAGTGGCTAACATAGAGTTCTCTTCAATAATCGGTGACCCGCCATCTAAATGCGGGACATAAGGTACTGAACAGGGTGCGCGTGGAAACATACATACTCCTGGCAGCGGCAAGAATGTCCTGTTAGCAAACGCGTGTGGCGCGTCCATTAGGAAGACATACAAAGGAGGAGGCTTACGCTGGCGGCTTTACCGTACAAGATGGATTTCTTCGCGTCTTCTGCACCTTTTCGTTGCTTTATTTTGGACCACTAGTAGGCGCATTGGGTACTATGAGTTTCTGAAGGCCAAGAGTTGAAGGTAGATCTTACTTTATTATGACCTGAGTACGGTGTTGAGCTCCTGGAAAATGATCGTGCATGTGATGCGCGGGGCCAGGCAGTCGGTAGCCTCAAGCGGAGCATCCAGCAAACTCGAGTAGTGTACTGGCAGTCCAGTTATGTAACGTTCTAGTTACTAGTAGTGCTAGTTTTCACTTGCCTAATACGTACGTTAACAGCACTTGTGAGTCCCTGAGTACAACGAAACTTCAGATGTTGGAATTATTCAAGTTGCACGCATCACCAACTTGTCGGAGTGCAGGTCGCAATGGCAACCTTCCTCTGCAATATTAGAAGGTTATGAACGTTTGAACCGTTATCGGCATGACAAAATATACAAATTACAAGGCCTTAACATATACATATACATACATAGGTATAACCAGCGTCTGAATGTACATATTCTAAATAAGTAGTGTCCCTCCGTGCAGTCGTCCAATCTTAGATCGTGCAACTTACATAAACCAATCAGATATATTTCGCAGGTGGAGTTTCAGCTCTCTCGCGAGGTTTCTCCACACCAGCTTCCGCGGCGCGGACAGCGCTAGTGAGATCGAAATGGAAGAAGGGGGTTTCAACGGGGACAATGGGCACTGTTCCCGAAGTAGGAGGAAGAGACTCGCTGTGGGCCTCGATGTCTTCGACGCCTACGCTGGACGCATCATCCAACAATTTCTCACGGCGACCGCCACGGTGGGGTACAACAGATGCGGTTTCGTTAGAAAGCTCGACTGCTGGGGTACCGATGCCGAAACCTGCGGCTACCAGAGCACGCCGGATCCAAGGGGACAGGATGGTAGCAAAATGGAACTGTAGTGTTGCATTGCATTAGTTGTGCAGCGTGGTGGGATGAACACTGTGACTGACCTCTACAGGACGGTTTGCCCATTTCTGGACCTCAGTCCGCGTGTCTACGAGGGCTTGGACAGATGTAGTGTCGATTTGAGATCTAGGAATAAGACATGAGTGAGTTTGTTCGTAAAAGAAGACTGAGGGTAGATGTCTTACACTCCAGAGAAGTCTAGCACAATGGCATGAAGAGCAGGTTTTTCATTGTTGGCTGCCTCTGCACTCAGGGAGTTGTCACGAGTTGGTCCGGGATCGTTCCAGGGGCGATCGGCCATTTTTATCGTGCTGAAGTCAATCCCACGTCTCATGTTCTCCCTCACATGATCAACAATGACGGAGTTGATGATGGCGCAATTAGGGTATAGGTAGCTTTCTTCGAAGCGGTAAACGATCACACCCGGAGTAGGAGGGTCAACCTTGACATATTGGTTCGTTACGTTATCCTTGCGCAACGGAACGAAGACTTCTCGTGATTCAGTGGAGTTGCGTGTCAGGGTAACCTTCCCAAGGAAATATCCCCTAGGGTGTGCGACGCGAACCAGAAGTAAGGCAAACGATGCCGAGATGGAGGTGTAGATGCCGTTCTCAATAGACGAAAAGACGGTGACCAGGACTGCAGCCAACCAAATAAGAAACTCGAGGGGGGAAACGCGCCAGTAAGAGTATGCTTGGGAAGGTGACGCGACAAGATCAGCGACCGCGTGGATGATAACGGCTGAAAGGCCAGCGCTAGGGATCCAGTAAAAGGCTGGGGTAAGGCCATAGAGGGCAACAAGGACAACTATCGCAGTGAAAATACCAGCCAGAGGAGTCCGCACGCCCGACTTCGACTTCAAGGCAGAACGGGAGAATGATCCTGTAGCGGGATACGCATGGAATATAGTGCCGAGCGTGTTCGTGACGCCTATGGCGATGAGTTCTTGGTTGGGATTGATCTTGTATCCATTGACCCGTCCAAATGCTGCAAGTAGTGTCAAAAGGGCATGACGATCAGATCATCAGTGGCTTACATCTGGCAATGGCGATGTGCTCAAGAAGGAGAATTATGGTGGCGACAGGGATCTGTGGCCCGAGGGCTTTGACGAGCTCGCTATCGATGACAGGGGCACCCACGTCTTGGAATCCTGCGGGAACAGTTTCCAAGATGGCAATCGGATATTTACCGGAGGCGGTTTTACGGTGTCGGCAGTACAGCCAAGAAGCTAGGGTCAACACTATC